TGAAACTTCATGAAGGGGTCGATGAGCTGAAGAGTTTGGGGACCCCTGCCCTAGGTGTTAGATTTAGCAGTTGAGGCTCTGCCCCATCTACTTAAGGATCCAGGGATTAAAAACAGGCCTCAATCTTCTCCATCCAGTATGAATTATGAAATTAACTTATCCTGAGTCCAAAGTTATAGTCCAACACATCTGCAGAGCTCCTGGCTTACAAGGGCTATGCAATGTTTCAGAACTAATTTGAAAAAAGCTCTTTTAGAGGGGGCAGGTGCAGTGTAGCATCCGACTGCATCTCATTAAAGCAGCCACATCTTTTACTGGAATCACATTCTGGGAGAAAACATAGAGTTGTAGTCGGGTGCTATACTTGTATTTCTATATGTCCTTTTTGGAATTGAATCCAAAGCACCACACCACCTTATTGTTTACACTGATGGCCAGAAAGATCTGAACAGGATCATGCAATCCTGTTAAAACACTGAAGCTGAAGCTTGAATCCAGAACACCAGCAAGTAAAGCAAATGCTCCATCACTGAGCTACAAGATCACATCAATGTCAGGAAATGTTTAACACTGTTTATAACATTCTCTTAATTGAGTAGCACTATTAAAAAAGAGGGGGCATCAAAGATGGGAGCAGCTGCATCATGTGTTCTATCTTGCAAGTTTTTAGAATTACTTCTATGTTTTGGCAAGTTTTATGCCACAGATCATAAGTTAGGGTAGGCAAACCTAGGCCACTGCCAAGTTCATAGGCTCATGGAAGACCGCAGTACTGTGTTAATCCCAGCATCGTTTATCCCTGGAAGTTAGCAACTGGATGGCAATTGGACTGAAGGATCCACAGTTTTATTTGTCATATTGTCCCCAATATAATGTCATTCTAGTGAACTATGGGAAATTTAAATAACATTCCCCAACAGGAATTTGACTTGAGGTAAGCAGTGAGCTGGCCAAGTTGTGGATCATAGGAAACTACTTAAGTTAGTCAAAATCAAAAATATTGTGATGAACTCCAGGTCTCTTTAAACTGGGTGAATGGTAAATCAAATGCCAAATGTGGTTCAGTTTAAGGATTGTTAATTGATGCACACCAGGGCAGAACCTCCTAACTTCACATATACATGGATGAAGTCTGAGATGCCCATAACTAATGAAGAGAAAGATCTTGAAGTCATAGTAGATAGCTCATTGAAGATATCAGCTTAGCTTGCAACAGCAGTGAAAAGGGGAGATTGCATGCTAAAACTGCAAATACTGTAATACTCATACAAATCTTGACTATACCCCAACAGTATCCGGGAAATGGTCAAAAATGTCATGATGACAATTCGAACTGCGCAAACAAAGTGCTGTTCCTTTGTATGCACATATATACATACGATCAGACTTGACCCCACCTTGATTTCACTTAGGATGAAGATCAAAATTGAGTTCTTCTGAAGATCATTTATACACTGAATGTTTGCTGCTGAATATATTCCTGAGACATATTATTAGGGTTTGTCTGTTATTTAGTTTTTAAATTGATTTATCTTTACTGTGGATGTTTTATGTATGTGTTATTGAGTTCTTACCAGGGATGCTTTATCAATTATTTACTGTGGAAATTTTATTTGACAACATTGTCAACCACCAGGAGTCCTATGGGATTCAATGGTATGAATGAATGAATGAATCAATCAATCAATTAAAGCTATAAAGCTATCTATACTAGTGGCCATCACTACATCTTATGGCAGTATAATTTCCACCAGTTAATTATAAGCTGTGTGAGGAAATACTTTGGGGGAGGGGGGCTCATCTAAATCTCCTCCTAATCAGCTTCGTTGGATGACCCCCGTCCTAAAGTTTTGAGAGAGGTGACAACTGAGGCAGGACATAGAATGATGCTGTATGAATGGTATAGAGGAAGTGAACAGGGAGGAATTTCCCCTACCCCTAGCTTTGTTTTCATTTTAGTCTCCCGCATTTTAATCTCCTGCACTTCCCCAGTATGATGCTACACCAGGGACACTGTGGGGGATTAAAATGAGGTTTCTGGCTCCCTGAGGCAAAATGTAACATGGCGGATGTACATCCCTGTTGCCAAAGGGACCCACGAGGGGGCAAAGGCTCTCTCAGCTCAAAGCTGCCCCATAGCAGGACAGAGACTGACCTGGGCAGACTAGGAAACTCTGACTTTTACTGGTTCCAATGACGAAGAATCTCTTACTTCTCTTCCATCTTGGGGGGCTTTTCCTGGAGTGCCTTCTCCAGGGCTGGGGTCTCTTCCGCTGGTTGCTCCTCCTGCAGAACAACTGGAACCTCATCCACCTTTTCCTCTTTCTGGACCTGCTGTGGCAGCCTTGGTGGCGCCTGCTGCTGTGGCTGCAGCTGCTTCTGCTGCACGGGCGGTGGCTGGGCCAGCGGCGGCGGCTGCTTCTGCTGCCCCTGCAGAGGCATTTTGGGCTGCAACGGCGGCTGCCTCTGTTGCACTTGCGGTGGCTGCTGGGCCTGTTGGGGTGGCTTCTGCTGGGGCTGTTGCTGGGCCTGCTGGGGCGGCTTCTGCTGGGTCAAAGCAAACGGCGTGGCTTGCTGGAGCTGTGGGCCCTTCAGCTGTGGCTCTTGGGGCTGCGGATAAGCCTCCTTGGGGTAGGGCTCATGTTCAGCATCGCCCGTCTTGTCCTCGGGGTAGAACTCTTCGTTCTCACTGTACTCTTCGTTGAACTCGTCCTCCTCCAGGTAGAAGTCGTCCTCTTCTTCGTCCCAGCGCGGGGAGTCCTTGTGGTAGCTCACGGAGCTGTGGCAAGAGTGATAGGAGTCACCGTCCCGCTCGTCCAGGCTGACGTCATCGGGGTCAAATTCGTCACTCAGCTGCGAACTGCCCTGGCTCAGCTCGGCTGATGAGGCGTAGCGACTGCTCCCAGTGGGGCTGTAGGGATGGGCAGGGGTTGGGACAGAGAAACAGAGGCAGAAGCCAGGGAGAAAAAGATACACCGGGGCTTATAAATGAGCTTACAGAGAACACTGTGGACTCACCCAGCTACAGCCAATCCCCACTTCTATTTCCCTACAGGTCCACCTAGCACAACTAATGAGCATCATCTATGTCTCTATTCCCCCACCCCCCCAAAAGGATGGGTTGAAATTTACATCTATACTGGCCTTCCTAACATCCAGAACACCCTGAGTGGCTGAGCAACCAATCCTACAGGGGTAACATGCTTAGATTACATTTCCAAGTAAGTCCCATTTCGGGCATCATTTCAATCATCTTTCCTAAAGGTCTGGGGAACTGTAATTTCACAAGGGGGCTGGGAATTTCTCCATGTGAGATTTCTAGCTTACTTTTAGATCTGTGCAGTCCTTTGATTGGGAGCCCTGGGAATTAAAGATCAGAAGGAATCTGGGAACACCGTTTCTGACTAACAAATGTTATTAAAAGGCATCTGCTTTCATAAGCTGCTGCTCAATAAAGGAACAGATTAGGGGAAATGTGTGAATAAGCAAATGCTGCATTAAGAGAGCTTTATAGGTCAAAACAACATAAAGTTTAGGAATTTGCAATTGTATGTAACTCCAAGCTTACATGAAATTGCATGTAATCTACTCCTAGCTACTAATAAAGTACACATTTTTGCAATCAGTTCCAACTGTGGTCATACCACTGTGCCGATATTCAGTGCCATGGGATGAAGATAGGTTGATGGCATCTTGGTCCACTACTCTCCTTCAAGTTAGCCTTCCAGTGTTCCCAGTCACTGAACAATGATCAAACTGGCCAGTCCTGAATTAGAGTCATCCCCACATGTACAAACTGGAGAACAATTTGCATCAGTTAGACTGACTCCCTTCACAATGCCCAGAGCCCATTCCTAACTCCTTTTTTTTTTTTCAAGGCAAGGTTTTTCGGAAGTGGTTTGCCATTGCCTCCTTCCACCTTCTGCTAATTCTACAGATTCAGCCAAGCCACCAGCAGCAATCAGTCACAGAACAGGACAGCAGCCATAGACGCAGAAACATAGAACAATAAACACCCAGCCTGCCCCTTCAGTGATTCAGTTCCTTTAAGGACATCACAGTTATAGACAGGACTGGGTGATAAGGCCAAATAAAGTTTACACCTGCTGCTGGTATAATAGGAGAGAGGAGATAGGTGGGAATAGAGAAATAGTGTACACTTTTCTGATCAGTGGTCCATACATGAGCATTTACACAGACATACACATACACGCACACACAGACGTGATGGAATTGTACAGATTATTTTACAGGGATTACTTTGTGTTGGATACATGATCCCTGTCCACCCAATTCTTTCTTTAATGGTGCAGAACCTGGTGTCCTACTTTCCATCTCTATTCTGCTAGTGCGATGTAGCAAAAAGGGTTAAAACTAGAATAACCAAAGGCCATTCGCTTTGGGACTGTTCCTGCTAATTACCCACAGTATTATTTCCAATGGCCTTAGAAAGCTCTGTGCCTTTTGATACACAGATATCCTGTAATGGTTGATACTAAGCTCCTTATCCTTTTTAATCTCTTGCTGGTTGTTCATGTCTCTCTCTCCTTGCTTTTACCTGCCTTTTATCCTGGATTTGCCAGTTAACTATTTCTGATGTTTAATAAATAAAATTCAGGCTATATTTTTTGCTAGCTGAATGGAGTAGCTGAATGTGCTTGCTCTGATCTGGACACAAAGATTGACTGTGAGCGTGCTGGGTGCCAACTCAACTGGAAATCACCCACCATAATTTTTCAACACTTTGTATGGTGTTTGATTGATGTGCAACAGGATGTCACCACAAAATGAATCCTGATGCAGATGTATATATGCACCACAACACCGCAATGGCTTTTTTTGCAGAGTTTTACCAACTTGCTGAAAAAAAAAGAAGCAAAGTAACTGCAGGAATTTACCCATCAGTTAGAAATTTTTTGTCTTAAAATGGAAATTCAGCAAGAGTAGAATAAACAGAAAAGCAAATCCATGGGTTGGTAAAGGAAGAAGATGGGAGAAATCCATTTCTCCAAACGCTTTGGCCAAAGAATATCAATGCACTTGGATATATTAGTCTGATTCAGATACAAATTATATCCCATTGGTCTCAAACAGCCTTTCTCAATCTCCTGCCCTCTGCATTAGTCAAGATAGCTGGTATTTCTTAGTATTACAGTCCTACTATATCTAGAGGCAACATGCCTGATACAATATTGGATGAGTGGACAGAAATAGATGTCCCCGATTTAATGTCTTATTTTCAGGTGGCAAACTAGGGCGCTGTTCCAGAACCATGATTTAATCTCCAAATTAGTCAAAGCATGGAAAAGACATTTATATGTATATTTATGAAAAAAAAAAATCAGGAAGCCTCACCCTGTTTCCTATATAAATTCCCCCCGTCCAAACAACAAAGAAGAATTTAGTGCTCTCGCACTGACTTTTTCTGGGGTTTGCTCTTCCCCCCCCCCATTTCAGAAAGAAAGTCCAATTAGCATTAGGGAAGAGTACCAAAGAGGCATTGATGTGTTTTATGGAAATGCATTATGGTTCTGCTTCTGTGATATTCCTGTTCTTGTACGCAAGGTTGAAATAAAATTCTGATTTCACTCCTCCAAATAAACACACAGATACACACACACACACATACATAGATTGTACCTCTCGAGCAAATGTATTCATGTATCCAAATGAAGTGGATGAGGCCTAGGGTGGTAAAAGGGGGTGTACCCCTTCAGACAGCCTTGGTGATCCCACCTGCTTAAAAATAATACAGACCCCTGGATACAGATTACTAGCATTTCAAGGAGAAAGGAAACAAACCTACACTCTGGAATGATACTCATACAGGTAGTCCTTGATTTACGATTATTCATTTAATGACCGTTCGAAGTTATGAAGGTGCTGAAAAAAGTTACTTACGACCAGTCCTCGCACTTATGACCATCGCAGCATCCCCACTGTCATGTGATCAAAATTCGGGTGCTTGGCAACTGGCATGTATTTACGACAGTTGCAGCATCCTGGGGTCATATGATCACCATTTGCGACCTTCCCAGGGGTCTTCCGACAAGCAAAGTCAATGGGGGAAGCCAGATTCACTTAACAACCATGTGATTTGCTTAACAACTGCAGCAAAAAAGGTTGTAAAATCGGGCACGACTCACTGAATGATTGCATTGCTTAGTGATGGAAGTTCCGGTCCCAATTGCAGTCGTAAATCGAGGACTACCTGTACAAAGTTTCCACTTATCAATTTTAGTCCTCCGAAAGGAATTCCTCTTTTCCTCTGACAGGGTCACATTTGATTTTCACACATTCTCAGAAGATAGAATAGCACGTTACAGAAGAAAGGGGTATAGGGATCAGAGGAGGGGACACAGAAAGAACAGAGGAACAGGTGGTTTCACTGTCAGGGAGGGACAGCCTTAGATCCCAGAAGCTACATTACGGCAGACTGACCAGACTGTCTCTAAGCAAGCGCAGAGGCCTACGGGAAGCACATGCAGACACGATATGGGACACACCTGGATTAGACCGAAACCACACTTCCAGCATTGGCAATGGGGGAGGGACAAAGGAAGGTAGCCTCACAAAAGAATGTGGGTGCCTGTTTGTTCAGCTTTTGGCCTGGTGGAGAAAGGGAAAGGCATCTAGTCTTAATGGTTTGGTTGCAATTCTGGAATCTTTGATGGGGGAGTGCACCCAATCGCTTTATGAATCTGCACTTCAGTTTTTAAATTTCTGGATGTCATAAAGTGAAGGGGTACAGACGCAGCTTGCAGAACATTCAGTTCCTCTGTATGTTTCCCTCTCCTCTGCAGTCCTGATGTGCACATTAAACACCAGTAAAACACTGCAAGGCAGTTGGGATCAATCACAGGTTTGATTCCATTATGTCTGGGACAAACGCCTGCAGAGGCCACTAGAGATTCCTGGATGACAACAATTGTTGGCCCAGAGTTGCGGCTAATGCCATACCTGAAAACCAGAAGGGCACATTTCCAAGAGGGGAACCACCTCTGGACACAGTCAGGTTTTGATAATGCATGTTGGCCCTCTCATCTACAATTAATGAAGTGTAATTGCTAACACACTATGTACAAACAAATACACCATATTATGGCTTGTGTCAAAGGCCTGGTTCTCACAACATGCTAAGACAATGGATGTGTTTCCCAGAGCACACTGAATTACAGACTTCCCAATTCCATTTTAGCTTATTCAAGCATATTGTGCAAACTCAGTGTACGTGCAGTTCCACTGAGCAAAATGCTCACATAGCAAAGGAAGAGAATGGAGGTGGTGTTGATGGGGGAATCTACTTAGTTAAATTCTTCAGATCCTGATACAGGTAGTCCTCAACTTACAACCGTTTGTTTAGCGACTGTTCAACGTTACAGTGGTGCTGAAAAAAGTGGCTTACAAACAGTACTCACACTTACAACCATCGCAGTCCCCACAGTCACATGACCAAAAATTGGGCACCTGGAAACCGGCATGTATTTACATTGGTTACAGAGTCCCAGGGTCACGTGATTGCCGTTTGCGACTTTCCCAGTCAGCTTCCGACAAGCAAAAGCAATGGGGAACTGCATGATTCACTTTACAACCACATGATTAGCTTAACAACCTCCACAAAAAAATATTGTGAAATCAGGTGTGGTCACGTGATGCCTCGCTTAATGACTGCACTGCTTAATGATTAATTTTCTGGTCCCTATTGTGGGTAGGTAAGTAAAGGACTACCTATAGTGGTTTTGTAGCTGAAGCTCTTGTAACTACCTTGATCAGGGAGGGCAAACTGGTCAGAGAAGATAGCAGTTTTAACCTAACCCACGATCCCTAGCAAGCAGGCAATTACCTATGGTTGCTAAGGGTGATGGGAGCTGTAGTCCAAATGGACTAGAGAAAGGGAAAATCTGCACTAGACTGCTTCATTTTTAAAGTGGAGGACATTGCATAGAATCAATGCAAGGACATTGCATAGAATCGATGGCTGGTGTGGGTCTTCCGGGCTGTGTGGCCGTGTTCTTGAAGTTTTGTTTCCTAATGTTTCGCCAGCAAAGCATAGATTGCATAGAATCCTTTAAATCATGCTTAGCCTTCTTTATGTTACAATTGCCTGTTAGGAAAAACTCCCCGCATGTTGCAAAGTGTGTATGTGTATGTGTGCGCACATGTGTGTATTCCACTGAGAACTAATTAAGGAGAGTTCAAGGCCTAGCAAAATCTGGATTTCAAATTCAGTGCTGTTTGGAAAAAGTAAAATATTTGGGGGGGTGGAGTGGGAACAGCAAAGGAGTCATAGCAGCCACTGCTGGATAGATGCTAATGGCCTAATCCAGTTTGCAAAAACCAAGAACCACGTGACTCTGCAAAAGGCACACAGCGAAAAACAAGAGAAAGACCCACCTATCAGATAGGTCTAGGGAGCGCCTGCTCTCGAGCGAGGGCTGGCGGCTCGTGCGCCTGCTTGACCCGGAAGCAGACTCAGCGTCACTGTGCCCGTTTGCGGCAGAATCTACACTACCATAGCGTCTGCCGGGGAGGGGAAGAGGAAAAGGATCAGCATATAAAATGGCAGAGAGAAAAGACACCCCCCCCCC